AATAAAATTTTCGGGTTATGACATAACGACCCAAAAACAATGATAAAATTTTTCGTTTTAAAAACCATTAGTTCCATACATCAGATATCTCAAAGTATACCACAATACAAAATGTGAAAATCATCAGAGTAGAAATAATCATAAGCATGGAATCATGAGGGGGATGTCGTGCCATTACGTCGGGCCCTTCCCTTTTGTACCGGAAGTACCTGAAACTATAAACATAAACTGTAAGCATAAAGCTTAGTAAGTTCCCCAAAGTACCACATACCAAACATACAGTTGGGCCCAACCTTAGGGTATATTCCAACCCAATATACAATCATGGGCCCAACCCTAGGGCCCAGCCCTGGGGTTTATTTCAACCCGATCATACAATAATGGGCCCAACCCTGGGGTTTATTTCAACCCAATCATACAAACATGCAAGAGTCATAAAGACAACTAGCATCCTACATACACAATTCAGTGGGCCGACATTGGTGCATTCGACCCACAAGCACAGTGAGAAGACTTACCTCAAAATGAAGATAACAGAATCACACACGTGCTTGCTGCTACAAGGGATCCTCACACTGAACACATCCAAAACCCACCCTAATTAATAATTTAGGGTAATAACCCATAATCAAGGTCCAAATCATATCTCTCTTACTAAGGGTAAAATACCATTCTACCCTTTTTTCCTAACTAGACCCAATTAAGCATGGGCCAAGGCCCAAAATGCACTTGTGGGAGTACGCCGTGCATACTCCCCCATTACGCCCTGTGTACTGGGTTACCACAGAAAAGGAAACGAGCAAAACTCGTTACGCCCTGCGTACTCATAGGTTACGCTGCATAATCCTCTGTTGTCCAAAACCACTTTTAAGCTCTTAATACTTAAAGACAATACGTTCAACTCATAGATCTTAATCTTAGGAAGGTCTTAAATGATAAAGTCGACAAATTTAAGCTTTTGCATGGGCTAATAGAGCCCAAATCCAAACCCTAAGTCCATAATACTCTTTAATAACCTCAAACTCTTGCATGAGTGAGAAATAGCAACATAGACTTCATTTTTATGACACAAGTTCCTTAAAAACAACATAAAGTGACAAACTTGAGCTCTGGAGTAGCTTTTACTCATAAGAACCAAACCATGGGACCAAAAGTTATGCAAAACTAAACCCTAGTGTATATCTAAACCATAGAACCATAAAGGTTTGAGATTTATACCTCCAGAAGTTGGCAGATGAAAAGAAAACTCTGGATCTACAAGCTCTAAGCCCACCAATCAGCAATAATGAACTCCTTCTTATTCTGCAATACACCAAGAACAATCTAAAGGTCCAAAACAAGCTCTTAAGGGTCAGGGTTTTGCAATGATAGAATAAGGGAGTGGAGGCTGAAGGTAAGGAAGGTCTCAAGGGCTTAAGGTCCTTTAAATATGGTTTAAACCTTAAATATTAAGGTTTGGGATTTGCGTACTCAAAGGAGTCTACGATACCCTTTAATGAACTACGCCCGACATACCCATAGGGTACACCCCGCGTAAGGACCAGAAAACTGTTTTTTAAACTTTAAGCCATAACTGAAAACACAGATGTTACAAACATCCGTAACACCTTCGTTGCCCACTTTTCCAAACATCGAAACAACACCAATCACTCAACCCATAACTACAACAATTAACCTCAAAACATTGTTTGAACATCAATTATACCAATGTCAACATAATGGTCAATAGAAGAACTAACACCATCACCCCATAAGTAAAAGTCATTATGGACACCTTATTTGATTACTAGAGTTTCCCGGCCAAGTATTTAGCAAGAAAAACATACTTCAGGATGATACAACTAACCCAACCAAGACACACCCCTCCTGAAAATGCTTATTTAAGGCACATATGACCCATCACCATTTGTAGTGGAGTTGTTAAGCTACACACTACCACGATACCACCCGGTACCAACATACCACACCTTAAAAAATGCGATGGTATAAAAGATACGAATGTTATGCATAAACTGAACAAGTGCACATGTAGTCTTTAAAGCTTAACCAAAGATTTTGGTGTATACACTTTTGAATCACAGTATAAGGCTCGGTTTGGCGCTAGTTTAAAAGCCTAGAAACCGAGAGCATCCACAGTTAAGACTAACTAAAAAGGAGAATTTGTTGGCTACTTTTGCATTCCCCTTTAAGAAAACAATTGTCTAATCCAATAACTCTTCCACAATTCCTACTCCACCCATATTTGATTGCCTTGAAATACACATAAACCCTATGAAGTTATGTGCATACATCCGGATTGACTATAATACCCCCTTTGGTTGTACTCCTGGGGTTAGATCTGATGATCTCGTGTGCATAGTGTTCTATCAGCTTCCCATTTATAATTTCCAATGCTTTCTTTTTTTCCCTATAGAAATTTTCTTTTGGCACTACACATATAAACTTCATATTTCAACTTTCTAACTTTCATTCTTAGCTTGACACTCAATTGTTTAAGGAAGTATTTGGCAATTCACTTTGGATTCACCAATGTAGCATGCCTAGACTCACTAATCCAAGTATGGTTTTCATCAAGTCCCTTAATATGAAAAGTATTTTCCTTTATTTATCCACGAAGGCCACAGTTTAAAGGGACAACTTTTATCTTTCTTGTCAAAATTAACCACATTTGGCTTGAAGTCTTTGAATTGAGGATTTTGCCGCCTTAAGTTGATAACAATTGACAATTGCATGATTCGTGAGATAGAAACACAATTCCTCTTTATTAGCATAACTTTTACTCTATATGTGGTTCCATGATGGGTCTTGTAAACCAAACCAAGTACCACCTTGAATTGTATCATCATCTATTTCCCTTTCATTATAAAAAATGTCATCATCTTTAATTGCTTCATAAGCAACAATTTCTTTTTCCTTTTTAACAGGGACATGACATAAGTCATAAAGAAATATATCATGGAAAACCTTCAACTACCGAGAACCTGTTTGTTCATCTGAATCATTGTCGGCTAATTCTTCATCAACCATAAATGTTTTATCCTCTGAGTCACTCAATGTTTGTTCTTACCACTCACACTCTACAAAATCAGTTGTACTTGTTATATATAAACAAAATCCAAATACGGGTCCACACAATAAGGATCGAACCATAAACCAACTAAGTCAACACAAACATACTAGGAGCCAATTTCCGATACGAGTCAAGTAATGATAAATGCACCTTTCATCCATGGGCATTTCATTTGACGGTATTAGTTCCTCTATTGGATTTTCATCCGACAATGTTGGCTTCTCCATTACCACATTCATTTGAATCTTGAATCTACTATAAGTAATAAAGAAACCCTTTATAGATTAGGCCTTGAATAAGATGATCGTCCACGATGGAGGGTTTTGAGAATAGTTAAAATGAGCGAGGCTCATTTGGCAAAGGAGTTATTGACATCCGTTGACTTGGCAGGACCTAAGGAGATATAGACGGTTACCATGAGTTAACCGGGTAACCGGTTAATTGGTGGGTATTGCAACATATTGAAAAATAAGTGTCTTATATGCAACAAAAATAAACACATTGTCAAAATTGCAAAAAAAAAAGTAAAAACATAATGACCTTTTGTGCAATTTACCCTTTATTAGATTACAAAATTTAGAATAAACCATCCGATTAATGATTAATTCTTTCCGGTGGTAAATCTAGAACAAAATATCACGTGGTTCCCAAATTAAGTGAAGCCGATAAAAAATCAACAACACTTGTGGGGGGTCAGGTCGGGTCAGGTCATGTATGATTTAATGAAATATAACTGAAAAAACCAATCAGACACCACCGATTAAAATTAAAAAAAAACAATAGAAATATAACTAAAAAAGCCAAACGATTTAATGAAAAACTAGTTGATTATTAAAACATTACTACCTTATTGTTTGATAAAAACCAAGGTTGTAAAAAACGTTCGGCGTTAGCTAGTCGGTGGATTGGGGTTAAAGGTTAATCGGTTAGGCGGAGATTAATTGGGGACCATTAATTGCTAATTTGTTGACTTTTAAAAAAATTAAATATGACTAATATCATATCAAAGTTTGTAAATACAACTAATATCATAACAAAATAGGTTAATATGATTAATACAACACTAATCATACCTAAAATATTTCCTATTGAGATAGAACTTATTTAAACTGTTAAAATTTCATCGTTTAATATTGTTTCACTCAATATGTTTGCAGAGATTAATCGCTCGACGCCCTTTAGTCGATTGAGTAGCGCCTAAGGATTAATCGGGACCTAGCCGGGATTTTTACAACAGTGATAAAAACTATATATTATATTTAACCCTATATATTTAGCAGCATAATTGCCCATTGTAACTTATTTTTTTCTCTTTTTAAAATTGTTTTTGTAAGACATTTAAAAAAAAAAAAACAAACTCAATGTAGATCTTTTTTTTTTTTAAGATAGTTCTTAATTTTTGTGGTATATATATTATAAATGAAATTGAAATTTTAGATAGGTCCTAGGACCTACCTTCTTCCTTATTAGATACGCCGTGATTCTTTCACCCCAAAAAGACAACTATTGTTCTTGGAAACTTTGTTTTTCTAAATTTGTTCCGACTACTCCTGTTCCTTAAATTTATTTGGCATCAATTTATTATAACTTAGGTTTCGTTTGGCAAATTACCTGTAAAACTAGCTTTTACGTAGTAAGTTAATTGATAAAGTAATAGTGTTCGATAAAATGTAGCTGATAAATTAAATGGAAAATGTATTATAGGACATATAAGGGTATATTTCGAAAAGTTGTGTAAAACAGATACAAGGAAATATTCGAAAAACTTGTGAAAAAAGTCCAATAAGATGATCAAGAAGCTATCTCAAACAGTCGCCTTACAATAAGCTGAACTTATATGCCAAACAAACAGAGCTTTAAAGAATCCGAATTAGAATACGATATTTAGTTTATTAAATTATAGTAATAGTTTCAAAACAAACGAATCTTTATATAACGATCGCCTCCTGTAAGTATCAACTCCTATTAACTAAACAACGATCGAAGAATTAATAAAACTTGTGTGATTAATTATACAATAACCCAAACAAAAAAACCCAACTCCGATATATCATTCTATATCCAACTGGACACTCTCCTTATGTACCAACGCCCGATTCATCTCACCAAACTCTTCACTTTCTTTCATTCCTTCAGTTTACCTGTTCCCCAATCAAATCCAACCCAACAGCAAGAAACGACAACCCTTGAAACAACAAGAAATAGAAATGGATTCCATGAGCCGATAAAAGACTTCTTGTAGCAGCAGTAAGCAATAGGAACGCAAGTGCAAGTTCTTTCCTATAAATCCTGTTCTTCTTCTTCTCAACAACAACAACCGGAATCTCTTGTTCCTTCAATTTCCCAAGCATGTCAAGTCCGGAATCAGACAAACGTCTCTGAATCTTGTCTTCACTGAAGCTTTTCGATTCCCTTTCTGCAAATGCCAAAAGATCTGATTCCGATGATCTCCCGGATTTCTTAGTGACTACCCATTCGTATGCACTTCCAAGCTGGAAAAGACCAGAGACCATGGCATTGAATTTGGTTACTGACATTGTGTTCTCAAACAACAAGTATGGCATCAAGAATGGGAATGATTTTGGTGATGGGAGAATGTTTAAGATTGACATTGTCACAGGTACGTAACAGATGACCCAAATTGGTAATTCGGCTTCGGGTATGAACATTGTTAATGGAAGAATCACACAGAAGAGGGTGAAGGAGTAAAAGGGTAGAATTAGTTTTCGTAAAAGAAAGAACAAGAAGATCATGTTTGCCTTTTTCCACTTTGATATCTGCAAAAAGATTGAAACTTTAAGGTTAATATTGTTTCTTCAAGTGTTATATATATGCAATAGAAATGAAAGTATTATAACATTCTACTTTGGCATCTTTCTACTACAATATTGCACTTTAATTTTTTTTTTCTTATTAAGGCATTGTACTTCTAAGATCTACTCAATTATAGCATTCTGATTTCCATCTTTTTTTCTTAGTAGGACATTATATTTTGGAAAATCTACCTAATTATAGCGGGATAATGACATAAAAGCCCTTAATTTTGAGAGAAATATACAGAGTTACCTTTTTGCGGATTTTAGGTTCACTAAAACCGGATATTTGCAACTTTTTTTTTTTTCAAATTTACACATTTGTGTATTTCTAGCTCATTAAAGCCCTTACGTTTGGCAGAAATGTTTGTTTTTACCCTTTTTTCTGTTTCATAAAAGCCCTTAAGTTTGCTTTTATGGTTCATTAAATCCCTTAAGTTTGGTAGAAATGTTCGATATATCCGCAAAAATGGTAAAATTGAAAGAAAAAAAAAGGTGCAAACATCCGGTTTTAGTGGAACCTAAAATCTGCACATTTCCGTCAAACTTAAGGGCTTTTAAATCATTATCCCCAATTATAGCCATAAATATATATCTTTGTATTTCGATGAAACTGCAATGATGTGGTAATTCTTTCATAGTACAATGTTGTAAACTTGTAATATGAAGAAGTGATAAAAAAAAAGTCGGAATAAAGATTATAATGAATTAGTAAATGAACCTTGGAGGAAAGGATAGCAGGAAGGCAAAGACGAAAAAGTTGCATAGGACCCGAATGCCATCGATGTTGTTGTTTCTTATAAGCTTCATAAGACTCAGGCAATTCACAAAGAACTTTAACATCATTAAGATAAATAAACTTCCATCCATTCAAATGTGCTCTAACAGCAATATCCATATCTTCAACCGTTGTTCTTTCAAGCCATCCACCCGATTCTTCCAAAGCTTTAATCCTCCAAACACCCGCTGTTCCATTGAACCCAAAGAAATTGAGAAAGTGTCCATTCACTTGTTGTTCAACTTCAAAATGGAAGCACAAATTGATGTTTTGTAGTCTTGTGAGTAAGTTTTCATCTTTGTTTACAAATGACCACCTTGCTTGAACAAGAGCCAAATCCGGTTTCCCCTAAAATCACACCAAAAAAAAAAGATAGATAATGTAAGAAATAGCAACGTATTTTTATTGATTTGTTTTTTGTTATAGTGTCTTAACTTTCATTTCTTCATGTTACAATGTACATTGGGTTAGATATTTCAAAGCACAATGTCTTGATAAGTTGTAATAGAAAGAAAGGAGAGTAGGAAAAATAAAATAAAAAATGTTATTTCTTGTCTTTAGGGAAACCACTTTTTGGAAACAATATGGTTATTGTGGAGTTTATTTGAATCAAAAAAGAACAAATGAACACCATGATCACATGGTGCATTAGGTTTTTTCCCTAGACTCACAGAAGACTAGAAAAATAAAATAAAAAATCTTTAAATGTGTGGGTTAATCATCAAAAAAGGAAAAACAAAAAAGTAAAACAGTTGCTAAATATGGAAAGTGTGGATACCCATGATCAATTATTGGTGAAAGATAGTGTTGTAGGTTTGTTACCTTAAAGTGCGGAACTGTCAGTATAAGGAAATCAGGATTAGGTTGAAAATCTGCATCTAAAATGGCAACAAATTCATAGTTTTTGACATAATCACAAGACATCGCTGAATGAAGATTTCCAGCTTTGTATCCTGTTCTAACGAATCTGTGTCTGTAGATGATGTTCACTCCTTTCTCTTTCCATGAATTCACTTCGTTTCTTATCAAAATCTGTAAAAGTTCATCGCTTGAATCATCCAAAACTTGAATCAAAATCCTGTCTTTTGGCCAATCCAATTGGCAAGCAGATGCGATTGATTGTTGATACACCTTCATTACACAAAACCCAGAAAATTAATCAGCAAAGAGATCGATAAAAAAACAAGGGTTTTTCTTAGATTTGACTGGAAAACCCTAAATTATTTGGTAAAATGGTACCTCTCTTTCATTGCACATGGGGATCTGAACAAGAACCATGGGGAAAGACGAAGGATCTTCAATGTCGTAAGATTGATCATCAATCACTGGCTTGATTTTCTTCAATTTGATCCAAAAACACCCAATCCCAAGTATGAATCTATCGAGAGATTGAATCATGAAAAGCAAAACACAGAATTGAGACAACATAGTGATGGATGGAGCAAGATAATCAGCTCTGAATGAAATCCAACACATGTAAGACAAGTGTACAAGTCCCATAGCTTCTGATGGTATAAGTTTCAAATCCCAATTTTGTAAATAAGCAATGATTTCAACAACCAAAGCGACAATAGAAATAGCAAGAAATACTCTTATGAATTTGTACATAATCTTCTCTTTATATTTGACTTCATCTTTGCTTGAATCTGATAAAGCAATGCGCTTTTTAACAGAAACAAAAGTCTTGGAAACCCCCATTGCTAACCATGGAAAGAAAGAGAGGATTCTTTGAGCTTTGAGTAAAAGCAGCCATGAAAACTGTTTCGTGCTTGCTGTTTTTTGCTTCTCAAGAAACACAGATGTTTCTGAATCATCGACTTCTACTAACGAGATGTTGCTTGGTTTGTCTATTGTGACTACCACAGAACTTGGTGCCATTTTCTTGAAGCTAAATCCACAAATCCCTGATGGGATTTTGCGATTTTGCAGACAAAAGATCTAAGAATCAAAGAAAGATCAAAAGGGTTTGCAGAGGTACAAAGATTAAGACATCATAGAAGCTTATCTGACGAAAGAAAAAGAATCGGTGAAATCTGGATCTTGAAAGCTTAAAAGACGAATGTACAGAAAGATAGAAGGATGCAGAAGTTGACTAGTCAAAATACAAAAATCTTAGAGAGAGAGAAAGAGAGATTGTACTTTGTAGTATGTAAATGGAAGGTTCAAGGAGGTGATTAGAGGCCTGCAAGTTTAAATGTGGAAGGATTTGTTTAATTTTTTCGATAGACGAGTGAGGAAGATGCCATGAGGTTTGGGTCAACTCTATCTTGGTCTCAATCATGTGCTTGTGCTATGACACAATATATGTAAATCTATGGATGCAATTTATAGCACAGATCGTAATAAATAGTAATATATTATTTTATTATATTTTAATTGTGTTCTTTGAATTTTATGGAATATTATCATGATTATTATTAGTTTTCGGGATTGATACTTGTAATTATGGAAATAAAACATGTATAGTATGCCTATTTTACATCATTGACATTTTTTGTTATGTTATTACAATGACATGATTATATAGATAAACAAAAATAATATATGCTACACAAAGAATATTTGTCTTTGCTTTTTCTCGTTGGACCGTTTCAATATTTATTAAGAGGATTCGACCATTTTTCTCATCGGACCATTTTCAATATTTATTAAAGGGTATCATTAAACTCTACTGAAATTCGTTCCATTTTCTCAATTTCTGCAAACATATATGGACATCTTTTCTCAATTCATCACTAAACCTCTCTCAAACTTCTTAACACAGATATGTATAAGCGCCTTCTACAAACTATCATCAAATTCTCTTACGATACATTGTTATGCAAACTGTTATATCTACTTAACCAAAATGATAATTTACAATCTTTTTACCTATATTTTGCATCTTGGATCCTTGCAAATCGCAAAACCATATAACACATTTCAACGATATGTTATTTTTCACTCTTTTTCAAGTTGAGCGTAGATTATTTAACATGTTTGGTAAATGTGGTACTATATCTATCCAAACTACTAGATTATTATACCTTTATCCACATCTTGTATCGCGGAACTGTATAAAACATATGAAATCTTAAACATATTTCATGTTGTTTGATAGTTTCTGACCCAGTAAGATCTGACTCAGTCAGAGCCTGACTGGGTCCAAAGCTCTGATTGAAACTGCCTCTGACTGAAACCATGTCGTTTGATTATGGCTCTGACTGATTATATTGAATGCTGGAAATGACTATGTTGCCCTTCTCTTATATTTTCCAAAAATTGGTTTTTTTTTGTGTCATGGTGTAATTTTAATGGACAACATCTAAATTTATTTTGTCATTTTTCATCAACTTCTTTTCATTTCTCTATTTTACAAACTATGGACTGATGACTGTTTCCCTCACACCAAACGAGCAACTAGCAACCATATTTGCAGCTTCATTCTATCCACTCTTCAGTTTCATTTGGGGTTTTAGATCCCTAGACCTGTAAGTCATTTTCCATGTTTGTTGGCATCTATATCTTCTGTTTAAAGATATGTGTATATTCCAAATTGTTTCAAGCTTCTGCCACAACACCAAAATTACTGTTCATATATAATTTCATGAAGATTTCAAGAATTACTGTTCAGGGAAATAAGAGGATTGATCGATTAATTACTTGGGCTTTAAGCTTATTGGGAATCGTCTCAAATACAAGTAGAAGGAAGCAACATACGTATTAGAAATCAATTTCAACACATTGAATAAGCGCTGTCAAAGAATTGAAGAATCGATTTCAAGCATATGAAAAAATCGATTTCAAAGAATCAACTGTATAGAGAGACGGAAATTGCAAACCTGTTTATTAGGTCAAAACGGGAAAAAGCTTACCACTTTGGAGGAGGAGCGAGGTGCCAGACCCAAAGGAACGAGGTGGAAGGCTGAAGAACGGAAGCCTTGGCAAACGAAAGAGAAGGGCATATGAGGGAGAAGATGATTTCAGTCTCGGTCAGACTTTATTTTTTACAGGTCCCAGTCATCCGTTCATTAGCCATTTACGGACCGAGTAAGAGCTCAAACATTGGTATCAAATAGCTAGACTAGGACCGAGTCAGATAAAACCTCTGACCAGACCCGGTCAGAGTGAAATCAAACAAGGCCTTACACGTATTTCAAGTAATGCATATATAATCTAACATGTTAGATCAAGTTTGTAGTATATCTACATGACCAAATTGCTAGTGTAATGTACTTTTATCCGAATACTGTATCCTGAAACCCCAAAAAGATTCAATATATATTATTTTCACATTTTTCTCAAGTTATGTATAGATTATTTAAAGTGTTAGGACAATTTAGCGTAATATCTAGATAACAAAACTATTAGGTGTCGTTTGTTTTTTCGAAGCAAAAATGTATGAAGTCTGCAGACTGATGAAGTGATGAATCGAGTATGAATCAAATCAGAGTTAATAAAATGTAATTTGAACACAAGAAGTAATTATAATCTGGTTTCAGCTCAATTACTTCCGATGAACACAAGTACATAACGATAGTAAAAAGGGTGAACTTATTACAATCACTCTCTGACTCTTACTATCTACTTAATGCTCAGCTCCTATTTATAGGAAATAGGAAGTACAAAAAATACTAAGGCTTAGACGTTAAGCTTCGTACAAAAGACACCTTAGCAAATACATAACAAAATATACGAAGTGAACAAAACATACGTAGAGTACAAATAAACAGACTTCGACTGTTTACAATATATTTCGACCCTACAATCTCCCCCTTTGTAAACAAGTCGAACTTCTCAAGTTGAGAGAATCTGTGCAGCAAACAATATCACTCTTTGTATCTCTGTATACCATGAGATAATCTTCTTCAATTCCTTCTTATCTCCAAGATTGTTTTTCGAACAGTTATTCATACGAACAATAAAGTTCGTATACTGGGACGTAGTGTATCTCTCCACTTCGTTTGCCTGGAACAAAAATCTTTTTGCCTTCCCATTTTTGTCCTTTCCTGCGAAGACCAATCCAAATGGCTTTAAGCAGATCTCCCCATCAGCAAACTTCTTCAACTCAGCTTGAGTCTTCGGGACTTCCATTGGAACTTTCACTTCCAACCCCTTCGCAGTAGCTAACTCCACATCAGTTAGGGCCAAACACTCATAGTAATTATCTATGAATATTTTGATGTGGGCAAGACCAAGTCTAAACACTTTTGGGTCCGTTCCTTGAAGATGTGAAGCGTTCTTATCTTTCAAAAGCAATGCAACTTGTATAAGATCATACAAGTTCATTAAAGGAAAATCTGCTACAAAGAAATCACAGATTTGACCATTTGACCTTGCAACATGAAAGCGAAAATTATGCATCAGGTTTTCGAATAAAACATCCCTTGTAATACTGATCACTTTCTTTATCTTTATCAAAGACCAAATCTCCTCTGGAAGTTTCCCAAAAACAGCATGAAACCTAAGTTTCATATACGTATATTCATCATCATTATCAAACTTTTCAGCAATTCTGTATTGAGCCATGATGAACATCATCTCATTCACAGGGAAATCCAGTTGGTTCATGTCTGAATTAGCAACAACATAGCTTTGTTTTGGATTCTTCAGAAAGGAATACATATGATTATATGCAACTTTCGCTTCGATCGTTTCATAATTGTAATGCTTGCTTGGATCACCCTTGTTCATTCCAGGTGGATCACTTGCACGAAGTCTCATAATACTCTGAATCATCCTTTGTTTCTCCATTTCAGCTTCGACTTCTGCTTTCTTTTCTTCTTTTGACTTCTCCACAACAATTGTTTTCCCTTTGTCTTGTTTTGAAAAGTCATCAACAACATTTGTTTGTTTTGAACAACTACCACCTACACCAGAAGAATCAATCACAATGCTTTTGGCAATTGGCTTTGTAGTTACTACTGTCGAAGTCACCAGAGCAACAGTAGAAACAGTTGGCTTTGTTGGAATTTTCGTTGAGAAAAATTTTCCAACAACCTTGACCTCTTCATGCGAAACTCCCTCACCAACCTTTCTTTCTCCCCCTTGCACCCCTGTGACAACAGGCGGGGCATCCGTTGGTAACAAATTTGAAATTTTGGACAATGGAGCTAACTGTTTGTGCAGAACAACTTCAAATTGAATAAACTTCTGGGACAAGAACTCAGGAGTAATGATCGAAGATGGAGCAGGCTTGACCACAAGTTCTGTCAACTCCTTTAACAAACGAAGAACTTCCACAAAGCTTTGACTATCATCCGTAGAAAGTTGAGTAATTTGAGGACTCAAACTTTCGTACAATTTTACAAACTTTGTGACTGCATCACAAATGATATCCATCTTTTGATTGAGAGACGCATAATCTTTCTGAACAATAACAATCTCTTTCACCATGTCTTCACGAAGTTCTTGAAGCTTGAGGTTGACATCTTCTCGCACCTTCTTCACATCTTGAATAAACAAGACATGTCGTTCTTTAGCCATCCTTCGAAAATCTTGAACTTCGCCCAGAAAATTCGAAGATTGAAACTTCATCCGTAACTCATTACTCTTATCATTATGATCCACCTTCTCCATTAGTCGTGATTCAGAGTCTATAATCAATCCAGAACATTTGGTAATCAGTCTGGCTTCGACAGCTTTGAGCATACCATCGATTTCCATGCTAGACACAGACTTACTTCCCCCCTATATCAGTTTGAGATTGAATAATCGAATTCAACTTCTTGTTAAGAATCTTGAATTGCTTCATAGACATTAGCATATGATCTGGAAAATTTTCTTCCTCATCATTAAATTCCAAATCATCGAAAGTTCCTCCAAAACCTCCTTCGTCCGTATCAGTTTCAGGTTCATCAATAGGTTTGGGTGGATCAGTGGATTGGGATGAGAAAAGTGTGGTAAATGGATTTTGGATAACATGCTCAAAAGTAGGTAAATTTGTAGTGTTCGAAACAGGGATGATATAAGGTGGTAATGAAACAGAAGTATCCATGGAAGATAATATAGGAATACCTGGAACTGATACTGAAACCTCTTTATGCGAATCTCCTTCACCCATGTTGACATTTACATTCGTATCAGATACGTGTGTAGTGATGTCTGAAGTTCGAACCTCCTCAGGAACTGACTTGGTTAACGAAACTTCGGGTGGTATGACCTCAGTCTGCTCAGGAGTTGATGTTGATTTGAGAATAGTAGCTTCAGGTGTTCCAGGAACTTTCTCACCTTCGGACGATTCCTCTTGAAGAACCAACTTTCGTTTCTTTATCTTATTCTTGGAAATATGTTTGGCCACATCTTCAGCTCTTCGTTTCTTTGATGAAGGAGAAACAG